GGGGGGGACAGATTCCTGCTCTCCGCCAAATTCCCAAGGGAGCCCACAGGAGGAGGCTGCAGGATATCCCGGAGAAAGCAAAGCCCGTTCTCTTCCAACTTGTCCAGTGGGGAAGAGAAACGAGTGTCTTCCAGCCATCCTCTCGGCCCCCCGGGGCCATCCGGCTGGATTTTAGCTGGCGCCTGCAAGCACATCTCTGCCCCCACACCCCCCCCCCGGCCCTTACCAAAGCCTGCAGTCAAGATGGCTTTCAGGAGCCAGAGGGGCCACCCTCTCCTGCAGCCTCCGGCAAGAGAGGCAGCCTTAAGGGCTCCCGGCGAGGAAGAGGAACGGATGTGCTGATGAGGGTCAAGGAGCATCACAAGTGAAAGTGGGATTTCAGAGGACTCTTCCTCAACCTTGATTCTAAACGAAGAGGGAAGGGGGGTGAGGAGACCTGCTGACCCAAGAAGGGGACAGCCTCTGAGCATATGCAGAGAACACAGATGAACAGCACCCCTTTCATTCTTGGTTTGAGGGCGAGGCTCCCGGGGCAGGTGGGTTCCTCAGTACCTCTTTCTGGGAATGGGTTCCAGAGAGCGGTTGGGCTCTCGCAGGCTCTCTGGAAGTTGTTTTTGTGCATTTCAGCAGCCCAGGCCGTAAAATTCTTCACTGTGCTTTGAAGGACTCTCAGTGACCATGCGCCCCAACTTCAGGGCACCTTGTTTGTTTCGGTCTTGTAGTTCATCCAGAGCTCAGGAATCTCCGTCTGACTTCAAGCCCTGCAGTTCGGGGGACGTGCAGCCGGCTGCCTCCGCATTCCCTTCAAGCGTAACCTGCACCAAGGCCCAGCTGGAACCCCTTTGCACGGCCAAACACTGCCCAGTCCTGGAGTAACAGCGGGAAAGGGCCGTGGGAGGCGACGTGTGGCGGTTAACAGCAAGGACTGGGGCTCGGGCAATCCGGGTTCTAGGCCCTGCTCAGCCCTGGAGCCCACTGGGCACCTTGGGGCCAGTCACAGGCTCTCAGCCCAGCCTACCTCGCAGGGTGGTTGTTGTGGGGATAAGTCTGAGGGCAGGAGGAGAATTATCTAGGCCACTTGGAGTTCTTTGTAGGAAAAAAGGCCAGACACAAATCCAATGAACAAATAGATTAGGAGCCCCCGGCCCAACACACCGTTTGCTCCCCTGCAGAGGGACAGGCTCCCTGGGCAGAAGCACCTCCACCCATTCGGCAAGGACTGGCTTCAGATGCCACAACCCACACGCAAGGGCTGAAGGTGGCTTGTTGCTTACCCACGGGTTTTCGCCACAACACGCGTTGTCATGTTGTCTGAATTCTGCTGAGATAACAAACCCTGGGGAGCAACCATTCAGAATCCCACAGCCAACCATGGGTTGTCATCATGGGTTGTTCATGGTTAACCAACTGTGGCTTGTTAGCACAGCTGGGTTCAGACAACAAGATAATCCACCTTTCAACGACCTCAACCCACCCTCCACGATACTCGGCCCTTGAGTGTAAGTGATTCTCCCTTGAGCCCAGTTACGCCATTTTGCGTTTGTTCGAGGGAGCGTCGTCCTGGTGTCCGTGGCCTCCAGGCACATCTCCAAAATCCAACCCCGTCCGATCGATCTTTACCCCGGGATCGCAGCGAGACACCCAGCAGCTGCCTGCCACTCTGCCTGGCTCAGCGCAGTCCCGTCTGTGGGGCACCTTGAGTGGAAATGCAAGGATTATCCACGGCCAACCCTGATGTTCTCTCTGTGGGTCCTCCTAGATCGCCGGAGGAGATACCAGAGGAGCATCCAGGAGATGTTCGGGAGTGCTGCCAAACAGGCCTCTGCCCCGGCCGCAGCGGTGAGTCTCCACCACAGGTGCGCCGAGTTGCTTCTCGGCAGGACACCACACCCTCAGGAAGGCAGCCATGCGCTCCTGTCTGTGCTCAGGACGCACCAGAAGGCAGCAGCTCGTCCGGAGCACTTCCTGGAAGTAGGCGTGGAGAATCTGTTTGGTCCAGATGCAGAGCGGAAGAGCTCCAGAACCGTCGTGCTGCTCGGGGCCCCTGGAGTGGGGAAGACAACCGCCGTGAGGAAGCTGATGCTGGACTGGGCAGCTGGGAAGTTCGGGCAAAGGGAGTTTCAGTATGCTTTTTACCTCTCCTGCCGAGCGGTGAACTGCAGTAGCGAGCCCATGAGCGTGGCTGACCTGGTTCTCGGCGGCTGTCCTCCAGGGACTCTCCTAACGGAGGAGGACGTCTTTTCGGACCAAGAGAGCATCCTCTTCGTTGTGGATGGCTTTGAGGAACTGGAGTGCTGGGATCTTCGGAGGGATGTGCCAAGCAGTGACCTGCAGCGAAAACAGGCCGCAGCAGACCTGGTGATGGGCCTGATTCGAAGAAAGCTGCTAGCCAGGTGCCATCTCATTGTGACTATGAGGCCCATGGCTCTGAAGGCACTCCTGCCAAGCCTGCGATCCCCACAGTTTGTGGAGGTGCTGGGACTGTGCCCAGCTGAGAGGAGGAAGTATTTCCACCACTTCTTTGAAAACGAAGAAGAAGCCACTCGCGCTTTTGAACTTGCAAGAAGCAATGAGACACTTTTCAGCATGTGCTTCCTTCCTGCTGTGTGCTGGATCATCTGCACCATTGTCAGGCAGAAACTTCCAAGCGGCCCCCTTAACGATATCCCAGAGACTGCAACCATCACCGAAATCTACATGCGGCTCCTCTTGAGCTTCTTGGGGTGTCACTCGCGGCCGAGTGACCTGGAAGGATTGTGCTCCTTAGCCAAGGACGGGACGCTCTGTAAGATGACGGCCTTCAGCAAAGACATGCTGATTAGCCACGGTTTGGGCTCGTCGGGCTCAGGACCCCTTTCTTCAGGCCGGAAGCTTCTCCATCAAGACGAGCACAACGCCACCCTGTTCAAGTTCATCCACGTAAGTTTCCAGGAGTTCTTTGCAGCCTTGTTCTATCTTCTGGACACAGACGGGGACCCGGCAAGATCTTTCAGCGACTTGGAGGAGGTGCTTGCAGATAAGAAGGAATGTGGCAGCCCCTCCTCCATGCTCGTGCGCTTCCTCTTCGGCCTCTGCAGCACGGAGAGGCTGGGCGTCCTGCAAGACGCGTGGGGCCACAAGGCGTCCCGGACACGCCTCTGGCAAGTGCTGCTGAGCTGGGTGAGCGGAGAAGCCGAGTGCCACTCCTTCAGGGACAGGGGGCGACTGCTGGAATTGTGCCACTGCATCTACGAGATGGAAGACCCCACGTTCGCTGAGAGCACGATGGCCCACGTCCGCGACCTGGACCTCCGGGAGCAGCTAGTGACCAAGCTGGATTTTGCTGCGCTCTCGTATTGTCTCTCGTCTTCCGGGGCGCTCCAGGCACTCCGCCTCTCCGGCTATGAGCTGGGGCCCGCAGGAGCTGCCCAACTGCTTCCCGGGCTGCTGAAGTCTTTGGAGATCCAGTAAGTACCTCGTAAAGACCCAGAAAGGAGCTCTGCGGCTGTATTCGCTCATTCTCTGCACAAAATCAGTGCGCATCTTTCAGCTCTGCCGTCTCTTTGTCGCCTCTAGAACCTCCCCTTTCCTGGGCCACCCACTCCGCTCTCCCATTTCAAACGTGCCTGCCAAGGTTGCTTTCGTTGCTCTTAATATCTTTCGGCAGGCTCCGCTCGTGCTGAATTTTTGCTTTCCTGCCACTGCCCCACAAGTCTGGGCCACTTGCCTGGCCCTGTGGTTCTGCTTCTTATGCGCGCCCTTTTTCCTTTTCGACCCTTCACTAAGCGTTTCGTGCAGCCACAGAGGCCATCTGGATGTCCCCCGTTTTCCTGTCCCCTTGCCATTGTTCCTGATCACAACATGAGGAAGAAGGCTCTGCCAGCTTTCCCCAAAGCTTCCTATTCCTCTGGGCGCGAGGGCAGGAAGGACGGAAGCGACGCACCATTCCGGTGTGGCTTCTCCTTGCGTGATGTGCCTTTTTCCGCAGGCTGAACAGCTGCGGCCTCGTGGCGGCCATGTGCAAAGACCTCGCTGCCGTGGTGAGCAGGCCAACTCTGACCCGCCTGGACCTGGGTGACAATCCACTGGGAGACGGTGGCATCACACACCTGTCTGCTGGACTTCTGGATCCACACTGCAAGCTGCAGACTCTCCGGTAAGCTGACCACTCCTCCAGGTGTTCGGTATCTGAAACCGGAGTGGCGCCGGATGGGGTGCTCAGGGGGCCCTGCTTCTGCCGGCTGCACCACTTTTTCGGGCTGATTCTCTCCGCATGAATCAACAGCTCCTACAAAAGATGCGGGCGTCAGATTTGCACATCTTCAGGCAGTTGACGCACGTGGACCTGCTTTCCATCTCTCTTCCTGCTTAAACACGAAGGGAAATCTTGTGTAGTGCGTCAAGTTCTGTGCTTCCCTCTCTCTCATTCTCCCTCGCTCTCCCTCTCTCAGCATTAGTGAAATGTTTGAACAGCGGCTCTAGCAAATGAGGCAGCAATATTGCGTATGTGTTCAAGGCACATGACACAGAATTGCTGTGAACGGCTCAGGCAACCTCGGTGATTGGGCGGTATAGAGCAGAAATAAGTAGATCAGTTCCATAATCCTTACCGCTTCCCTGGAAATGCCGCTTGCTATTATCATCCCAAAATAGTGCAGCAGGGGAACTGGGGTGGACAGCGAGGCACGGCACAGCTCTTTCCCTGGCTGCTGCGCTCCCCAGCCTGGAGCCGTGGCAGCCCGGAAGGCAGCACCCCGCTTGGAGGGCAAGGGCTCCCCAGGGCAGCTCAGAAGCAGCCGCACGGGGGAGAAACCCACGCAGGGCGCCCCCAGGGTGTGGCTTCTTGGGGCAGGCTGCTGTGGCCATTCTCGGGAGACCCCATCAGGGGCGCAGGATCGGCCTCTGACTCCCCCCGGGCCGCTGCCCCCGGGCTGCAGTGCTCCCCAACGGCCGCCCGAGAGCCCTGGCCCCCCCAACGACCAGCATCCGTCCTCAGTTCCGGCTCTCCCGCCCCCCGCACAGGCTGCACCGCTGCAATCTCACCGCCCTCGCCTGCGAGCCCCTGTCGCTGGTCCTGGCGGCTAACCCGGCCCTCACCGACCTGGATCTGCAAGGGAACCACCTGGGCGACGAGGGAGTCGAGACGCTGTCGGAAGGGCTGAGGCACCCCGGGTCGCGGCTGCAAAGGCTCACGTGAGTGCTGCAGCCTCTCTCGCTCCCGGGGCCGCCCAGGAGCAAGGGGGCGGAGGCCGCCTGTGGCCACCAGCCCTGCCGGCAACGAGGCCGCCTGCCTGTGGGCACCAGTGCTGAGGAGGCCGTCGGGCCTCCTGCCGGAGGGATCCTGCGGGCAGCCGTGTCGCCGCCACGTGGTTCGCCCACGTCGCCTTTGGCCTGATCCGGCAGGCTCTGCTCGATCCGAAGGGTCAAGCCTGCAGCACAGGTTCTGGCAGGAAGCCGAAGTCCCGCTGGGCTCGCACCGCGGTGCTGCTGCTGGTCTGGGCCCCCGGGAGGCTGGCTCCCACCAGCAGGCCCATGCGGTCAGAGGGCTCGTGTTTTTCAAAGCGTGGGCACCCTTCATGTGCTGTCTTTGCCCGTGTGCTTTTAACAGCAGCAGAATATGGAGGTTTTTCTCAGAAGAAACACTTCCCGGCCCGAAACTGGGATGGGAAAACACTCCCACGTTTAACTGCTGCATCTCAGGCAGCTGCCCATGTCCTTCAGAGGTTGTTTCCGAGCTCATATTCTTGCCCTGCGTGGGAGATCCCTGTTCTCGCCAGGCCAACCGTCATTCTCCTTGGCCTTCGGCGTCCCCCACGATTTGACAAGCCTTGCGAGGCTTCTCTATGGAAAGTCAGTATTTATTTTCCCAGCTTGGAAAGGGGAGGCACTCCGGCTCTGTGCATTTGCAGCTGGGAGAGAGGCCCGGAGAGGGGCCTGGATGTGCCGCTCTCCCTCCCCGCCCCCACACGGCATCGTCAGCCGCCTCCCACGCCTCTTTGGCAGGAGCTTAGTGCTGATGGGGCAACGGGTCTGCAGAGCCGGTCCCCTATCTGGGAGCCACGGTTTCCAGAGCGTAAATTCCCTTGTCTTCCCTTGCAGGCTGCACCTCTGTGGCCTCACGGAGTCATCCTGCAAAGCCCTCTCCTCTGTCCTGAAAGCCCACGAGTTCCTGACGGAGCTGGGCCTGGGGGACAACAGCCTCGGGGACACAGGTGTTCGGCATCTCTGCACCGCGCTGAAGTTCTGCAAGCTTCAGAAACTGGAGTACGTGTCCATCCCCTCCGCGTCATCCATAATTCAGAATAATCATATGCTTTGCTCTGATTAGAATCCCACATTTATCAAGAAAAATGGCACTCTTTTCTGCAGATGAAAAGGGTGTTATGGGTCATAGCAGCTCCTGGAGTTGTGTAGGAAAGCGGGGGACACCCAGGAAGGCGGCGTGTCCGTCCGTCCGTCCGCGCGTGTCTGTCTGTCCCGCAGCTGAACCTGCTGCAGCTTCCATAACCTTTTGGAAAGTAGCCCGTGCAGAGTGCATTGCAGTGGTCCAAACAGAAGGTAGCCAAGGCACGGATGCGCCTGGCCAGACTGGGCATCTCTCGGAACGGGGCTGCTAGAATGCCCCACCTCAAGGTTCAGGGCCCAGTCGCCTGAGCTCGGGCCTCCAGCGAACGTGCCAGCCCGCTTCTCGCAGGCCGACTCTCCGTTCCCCAGGAGGAATCTCCCACCGTCTTCAGAGGAACCATTGCCCCGTCGCTGAGGCTCTTGCGCAGCTCTTGGGTTTTGCTCGCACGAGGGACCGTTGCATTTTCCTTGGTCTGTCGCTGGAGAGGGAGGGAAGGCAACAGAAAGGTCCCTCCGCAGCAAGCAAGACCTCATCAGCATCCCTCACGTCCTCCCTGAGCTGAGAAGCCCCCAGACCCTTTCAGTCTTTCCTCATAGTAAAGGAGGTCCAGCCCCCTCGTTAGCCCCTTTGCCCGCCCGCCCTGAGCCTCCTCAGGACTTCCTTCTGAGTCGTGTGCAAGGATCCGGCTGGAGAGGCCTCCTTGCACACCTGAGAGAAACCTCTGCCCGTTGGCCTGCGCAGATTCGGTTCCCAGATCAGTGGGGGTCTGCAAGGGAGCTCTGTCGGAGAGGGGTCATCCCTAGACTGCGTTCTGCCGAGATTCCGGATGGTGAAACCTGTGGAGGCCCCAAGGAGCAAGTCTGGTCTCTGCAGTGGCTGCCCTCTGTGCCGAGGCTTTGCAGTCGGCCATGACCCAGGCAGCCGCAGGTCGGCAGCTGGGCACCTTTTGCTGAAAAGGTGGGGGCTGCTACAGAGAAGGCCCTCCCCCAGCCATCTCCCCCCTCACTTTGTTAGTGGGTGGGACTTGGAGAAGGGCCTCCGCCGAAGACCTTCACGATTGGGCAGGGCACGTGGAGACAGGTGTTCCCTCGGATCTGCTGGCCTCCAGCCATTTAGGGCTTTGCATATTAGAGTCTGCACTTTGCACTGGGCCCAGACAGCAACCGGTTGCTGGTGCAGCCTGCCAAGGACGGGTGCGACGTGTTCGCGAAGGCTGGGGCTCGGCAGTAGCCACGTGGCTGCTCTGAACGAGTGGCAGTGCCCGGACCCAGGGAGAGCGCGCTGCGGCAGTGCAGGTGTGAGGTTACCGGTGCGTGGGCAACTGTCGCAAGGCCTCGCTCTTCCAGGTGGGGACGCAGCCGAAAAACCGGCCTGAGCCGATGGAAAGCACGCCTGGCCGCTGAGTCCGCCTGAGAAACAAGCAGCAGCTCGGGATCCAGGAGCCCTTGCAGGCTGCAAACCGTGCCCTTTAGGTTTGGGGAGTGTGGCCCCATCCGAAACAGGCTGAAAGTTCCCCAGCTGGAAGGACGGATGGACGGACGACCTGCTAATAGCGCCTCTGCCTTGTTTGGACTGAGCTTCAGCTCGTTGGCTCACATCCAGTCCATTACCAAGCTGACAGAGGCTAAGGACAGTAACTGCTCCACCCGGACCGGATGGAAACGAGAGGTAGAGCTGAGGGTCATCGGCACATGGAAGGCGCTTCAGCCCAAACCTCCAGATGCCTCTCCCAGTGGTTTTGTGTAGATGTTGCAGAGCATGGGGGACAGAACGGGGCCTGGCAGAAGTCCATGGCACAAAGGCCACAGCGCAGAGTAGTGGTCCCCCAGCACTACCTTCTGGAGACGATCCGCCGGTAGGAGCGGAATCACCACAAAGCGGTCCCCGCCACTCCCAGCCCAGCCATCCTCTCCAGAACTATGGTCAATGGTATCGAAAGCTGCCGAGAGGTCCAGGAGATCCAACAGGGTCACATTCCCCCGGTCTCTCCACTGGCAAAGGTAATCTCCCAGGGGAGCAAGACCGCTTCCTTTCCAAAACCAGGCCTGACGCTGACTGAAACGGATCCAGATAATGCCTGGAGCTGCCCAGCCACAACCTACCTGCTCGATCACCTTGCCCAGGAAGGGAATATTGGCCGTAGGCCTATCCTGGTTTACCTCGGCTGAGTCCAGGTTGGTTTTTCCAGGAGTGGAGCAATCACAACTGCCTTTGCCTCTCTTCAAGAGGGGTTGGCAGCCTCCTGAACCCAAGCACGAGTTCCCTCCTTAGACGTCACAGTCAGCAAGGGTCGAGCGAGCAGGTCGTGGGCTGGACCAAACCAAGCCCCTTGTCCACATCCTCGGGCCGCATAGCCGAACAGTACTTGAAAAAAGCAAGCAGGTCTCCTCTTGCCTTCTCTTCAAGGGTAAATATGTCCGGGAGTAATTATCAGCAGAGCTCAGGTAAGATATCCCGCATGCCGCTTGTGTCCCACTTCAGCATTCTTGAGCTGAAATGTGAAGTCTCCCTTCAGTTGCTGGCATTTTTCTTTTCCTCTTTCCAGGCTTTCTACAGGATCCCTGAATCAAAATACAAGGCGCAAACTTCAGGCAGCCTTTGCCTTGCAGCCACAGATGAAACTGATCTGCTATTACCCTCCTGACTTTCCAAGTTTAGGGGATTAAGTGGCAAGATCAGCCAGGCTTTTCGGTCATGCTTTGGAGCATCCCAGAAGGGTCCTGCTGCCCAGACCAAGGCCAGGGAAGGAGGAAATGTGGATTATCCCCTCTTGTTGCTATTAGCGACCTTGTACAACACCCAACAGTCACACACAGGCTGGGTTCAGGCAACACAACAAGCTATGGTAGGTTTTTTACTGTTGTTGGCCAGCTGTGTGGTCCAAACCATCATGTTACTTCACCATGGTCTGTAGAAACCATGATAGGAAACAATGGTTTGTTCTGTGGTTTCTCTGCACCTCCATGACTTGTCACGGCTGAACCCAGGATCATGGTTTCCATAGTCCTGGTATGCCGCTACCACGAGTCCTCTGTAACGAGTGGCAACTGCAGGCAGCACTCCAGCCATCCAGCCTCTATGTGTGGAGCGATGAGGAAGAGGAAGCGATGCGCCTCGCAATTCAATTTCAGGCGCAATGGCCAATAGGATACATGCCAGCAGTGGGAGGACTGAGGAGGGGCGATGCAAACCACAGTGAAGTAGAAAACACTTTTTTTATTCGTATAGCTATAAGGAAAAAAATGGAAAAGTAACCTGAAAAAAGGGGAAAAGATACCACGGGACCTTACACAAAAATTGCATATAACTCTTAAGTGTGGGAAATTGCACAAAATGTCAGTAGGTATTATTACTACCATCAATTGTATAACTACAATTTTAACTTAATACTTGGATATTACAAAAAAGGGCTTTAAATTGGGTATCAAGTAAATAATAATTCACCCAATTACAAGCCCACCAGCAATTAATAATTATTTTCCTCTTTTCCCCTAGTTAAAACAGTGTCAATTGTAAAAAAGTTAAATTCATAAATCAGTTATATTAATTTGATCATTGTGTACATACTACTTAATAGTAACACTCTCAATTGCTAATTAAAGGATAAATAATACACTTTTCATTTAACATAAAATTCTTTAACTGGTCTTCTACATATATTTGACTAGTAAATGTATCCACTAAGCCATCCTCACATAAATTCTATTTTTTCTCTCAATTTTTAAGTAAAATATGTATAGGTAGCTTCCCATTTCTCATCAAATTCTTTGGCTGATCTTCATCATGGCATATTCAGCTAATATTTTTTCTAGTCTTTTGCTTTCCATTCCGTGGCAACTGTAACTCTAGCTGAGGTTATCATATGTTTAGGCCTCTCTTAAAGTAGAAACCACTTGATCGTCCGTGAGGCAGACCGAGTTGAAAAGCCACAAACGACGGCAACTGCAGGGTTGCTCTCCATGTTGTGCAGAAGGGATTGTGCATTTTTTAATTGTGATGGCTACAGGTTAGGGAATGTGGCACTTAAGAAAAATGCCCCGTTCCTTCAGAGGCAGACCCCATCCTCTCTCAGCTTCACCTCCCCATCTAACGAAAGCGTCGCACAAGCTTGGCAGCTCACGTGGTCCTTCCGGAACCATTGCAAGTTTGCCTGATTGCAGGAAGCTCTTTTGGTCCCGGCACCGCAGCCTGAGCCTGGGAGAAGAATTACTGGTGCCGCATCCCTCCCGCTATTTTCTTTTTTGACCTCGCAAGGGTACCGGCCTAGCTCCATGACATCTGGGTGCACCTGATCTACATTTTGTCCAAGTTAGGAAAGAATTATTCTTGATCTTTTAACTTTACACCGAGATCCATGGATAAATCAGTATGGATTTGTCATATTCAGCTTTTACACGAGTCAGGTCTGCACCTTTTTAACTTCAAGGGTGTTGGCATGTCAGGTGTTCCTGTCCATTTCCGACCATTTTCTATAATGCCATCTCCTATCAGCGTCTATGAGTGGACCTCACTCTTAGCCTTTGATTCCTATTCTAACTGTAGTTAAATTTATCTTTAAGTCCAGATTTCACTATACAGCTCCTGATTCAGTAAAGAGTTATGCTGCTCTGATGAATTCCTTGTTCCGTTATCCCAAAAGCAACTTGTATTATACTGAGCAGAGTTTATTTGTTCATTTATTGTTCATTGCCCTGAAGTGTTTTCAAAGGCGGCAGAACAGAACATCAAAATAAACACATTTAAGCCTCCCTTTCATGGCTCAGTGCTTTCTGTGCCACACAAACACAGCTGAACTGTTGCACAATACACTGGAAGTGGGATTTGCAAAGGGGTTCCAGGGTGATTTAACAGCATGTTTTCCCCCTTATAATCCAGCCAAATAGGAAAGTTAAGATATCTGCTGGAAAGTATTAGGGGCTGTTTTCTGCATTAGGATACAGTTTGGGAAACACCGCTCTGGTTTCGTGCTCCCAACAGGAATTCAACATGACACTATTTCTGCCTCAAGGAGGGAATGACTTTACACCGAGGCGTTTCCCGTGCAGGGATGGAGGTCTTCTCGGAAGAGGTTCTCCCCTGCTGCCGAAAGGGCTGCCGGCTGGGACGGTCACTTCCCAGGGGTCTCAGGCTGCCCCCGCCCGTGCAGTCAGTCGATCCTTCACGTCCCTTTCAGGGCAGCGGCGGCAGCAGCAGCAGGAGCCGACCTGTGTCCGCGCTCAGCCTGGGCGAGGCCGGGCCAGCCTACCTCGCAGGGTGGTTGTTGCGAGGGCGGGACCGAGCGACGCGGGCTGCCTGGCAAGGAGGGGGCGGGCACAAACGCAGCGGGGCCGCAGTGACTGCGCGGGCGAGGCCCCGGCGGAACCGGCCCCGGCGCCCCGCCGAGCAGGGAGCGCCCCGCGCCCACCCCACGGGCCAGACGCGCGCCGAGCGCCCCCTGCAGGCCGCGGGCCGAGCTTCCGCCCGGGCCCCGGCTCGGCCAATGGCGCGGCTCCCCTCGCGGCGCGTCCCGCCCCCGCCCCCTTCGCGCAGGCGGGGCGGGGAGGGGTCAGCGCGCGCATGCGTGCTCGGCGCCCTGGAGGCGAGCAGGCGCCATCTTGGCCCGGGCCTGGCGGCGGCGGCGGCAGCAGGAACAGCAGCAGCGCCGGGTGAGTGAGGGGCGCGGGCCCGGCGGGGAGGCGCCGCCGCCCGGGAATGCGCGGCCGCCGACACTCCGACCCGGCCGGCCGAGGCGACGGCCCCGCCCGCGGGAAGCCTCTGCACGTGCTCAGGGGAACTGTGGTAGCCCCTCTTGGTGCCCGTCCGCCGGCGCGGGGCCTGCAAGGCGGCCTGCTCGCGTCAGCCCCGGCGCCCTTGCAAGCTCGAGGCCGCGGCCTCTCCGTGCAGCCGCCCCGTCTCGGAGCGGCCCGGCCCCGCCTCGGCGTGGCGGCCTTCCCCGGGGAGCCTGGCGCGACGGGCGCCGTTGCGCCGGGCTAGCTCCCGGGGCACCGCTCAGCTGCCCCGGGCCCCCAGCAGCACGCTTCCCCCCGCCCGCCGTCCGGATCCGTGCCCAGCAGCGCGGGCTCCTCGTCTCGGCCTTCTGTCTTCTTCTCTGCAGCTTCAGTTTGGATCTGCTGCAGCCTCCACAGAAATAACGTTTTTCTCTCGCTGGCGAACAGCTTCGCGTGTACCGTTTTTGCTCCTAGGGAAAGCCCTGGCTTGGTCCGGCTCAGGACCCACCTGTTTGTCTCCCTGTCCGTCCAGGGCGTCGGGCTGCTAAGGAGACGCCTGTCGCCCGGGAAAGCGGTGCACTGAGAAGCGCCTGCCGCTGGGGATGCAGCAGAGGCCGGGGGACCCGGGGGATGCCCTGGGGAGCATCTGCTGGCTCCCAGCACCCGAGCTGCTTCTAGTGGCCGGTCAAGAGGAAAGTCAGCAGGAATGCCCTAGTCCTTAGGGTGGGATCGCTGCCTCAGAAATGTGATGTTTCCGCCGCGACTCCCGCCTAGAATCATAGAGTAATCGTGCTGGAGGGCGCCGGAAGGCCATCTAGTCCACCCCCTGCTGTTGCAGGTCACCAGTTTACACCATTCCACTCGGGTGGCTGCCCAGTTTCCCCTTGAATGCCCCCAGTGTGGGAGAGCCCCCCACCTCTCCAGGCAGCCGGTCCCACTGTCGCTTGCTCTGACAGTGAGGAAGCTTCTCCTGATGTCCAGCCTGAACCTGGGTTGTCGCAGCTTGACTTGATGATTCCGTGTCCTGCACTCTGGGATCAGCCAGAAGAGATCCTGGCCTTCCTCTTTGTGACAGCCTTGGAGGCACTTATAGAGGGATGCCATGTTCCCCCTCATCCTTCTCTTGGCTGAACATGCCCTGTTCCCTCAGTCTGTCCTCACAGGGCCATGTTTCCAAACCCTGCCTCATCCTTGCTGCCCTCCCCTGGACCCTTTCTAATATTCCTGCATCTTTCTTAAATCTTGGTGCCCAGAACTGGATGCAGGATTCCAGATGAAGTCTGACTACTGAGGAGTACAGAGGAACTACTACTTCTCATTATTTGGAAGTAATAATTCTGTCAATGCATCCCAAAATAGCATTTGCCCTCTTGGCGGCTGCATCGCATTGTTGGCTCATGTTTAGCCTATTGTCCACAATTACTCTGAGATCTTTTTCTTTCTGAGTTCTGTTGAGCCACATATTCCCCATCTTGTGTTGCTGCATTTGGTTCTTTTTCCTGCGTGGAGGACTTGACACTTGTTCTCTTCATACAGCAATGCAGGCATTTTAACGCAGTATGTTGTGGTTGTCATGACTGAGTTTTAAATAGAGTTTTTAATGTGTTTACATTCAAATGTAATTTCCTTTTAAACTTGTGTTTTTTTTAAAAAAAGATACTTTAATTAAAAAACTGATTTGAGTATTTAAAAAATGCCAATGCTTATAGACTGAATCTTCTTTCTTACGCACACAGTCATTAAACTCATTTTTCATGAGAGCTCGAATTCAGTGATGAGAGCACAGAATATTCCAGAGCTTTATTTTTATCCGGGAAATTTCCCATTTCATGAATTCATGGCTAACTACGCATTTGTGCCGATTGCAGTCATACCGTTAGGAAAGAGTGGCAGTTCCAGAGTCACGGTTAATGCTTTTCAGGTGTTGGTCCTTAGCATGCATGCATGTTTCTTGAAATACACCCACAGCTCAGTGAAAAGGGACTGATATTTAGTGACAGCAAAGCAGAAGATGTCCTGTGGCAGCCCATCAAGCATCGTACTGTAGCTTGCGAAAATTAGTAACTGTCAACCACAGGTGCCTTTCTTTCTGCACTTCGCTGCTGTTTAAAGGTTTTACAAGTACTGCCAGATGAGAAAGCTGCAGAGCAGCACGGATACTCTGAGCGACTTGGGCACTGCTAGAAGTGCCCATTTGGGATGAAAGCAGTGATACAGGTTTTCTGGGGAACACTGAATTTGAGCAGTTTCAGTATAAATCCACGTAATCTGCAGAGAAAAATGTTATGATGCCCTAAAGGAGAGGTGGGTGGGTTGTGGCACTCGAGGCGTTTCGTCAGGCGGCTCGCATCAGCCGCTCACTGTTGGGTCGGTGGGCTGGAGCCCATGGGGACTCAAGTCGGCGCACTTCTGTGTGAGGGAGAGCTAATGTGCCATGTTTATTTTACTTCTCTTTAGTAAACAGCAAAGCTGAAATAGAACCCCGCTTCGCTTTCTTTCTCTTTCTTTATGCCAGCATTCCACACATATTTGACCTGAAATGTTTTGAGGGAAAACGTTACGGCACGCTGGGGGCATGATCCCATGGGGATGCCCATAGCCCCCTGGCGCCGGTCCTCCCTTCCCTTAATACTACCTGCACAAGCTGGCAGCGGCTCCCTGGGCTTTTGCTTGGGAAAGAGCTGGGAGCGTTTGCATGCAGCGATCTTCTTGGTCACTGGAGGGGAGCAGGGGGGGGCTTCCCGGCCCTCGGTGGTATTGCTCCGTGCTAAGTGGGCCTTGCTCCCCAGGGGGTGGTACTGAGCCTGCAGGACCATTTCTCTTCAGCATCTGTAGCGAAGACAATGGATTAGTGCTTGGTTTTCTTCCAGTAATTTACTTCTGCTGGTTTTATCATTTGGAGCCTGGCAGAAATAGTTACAGGCCTGCTGGAATCACTTCCTCTGTGCCAGGCCCTGGGACGTGGCAAACTCGCTGCGGCGGCATCCAACACATTTTGCGATAGGATATGGATTTTCTATTGCATGGATCTGCTAAGAACATCAGAAAAGCCCTGCTGAGTCAGGCCAGAGTGCCATCCAGCACACCCAAAGTGGCAAAGCAGCTGTTCTCCAGATCACTCGAGCAGGATGGGTGCAAGGCCTCCGCTTGCCCAAGTTCCTCAGCAGCTGGCATATGCAGGCACGCCAGCTCTGCTAAGGGAGGTAGCCCGTGCCCAGCAAGGCTAGCAGCCACCGATAGCCTCTTCCTCTTTGAATCTGTCCGATCCCCTTTTAAAGCCATCCAGAGTGGTACTCATCACTGTTTCCTGTGGCAGGGAGTTCCATGGTTTAACTGTGCCATATGAAGAAACCCTTCCTTTTCTCTGTCCTGAATCTTCCGCCAATCAGCTCCATGGAATAACCCTGAGTTCTAGTATTATGCTAATTAGTGTTTAGCCCCTGCCATCCCCTCCCTTTTTCTTTTGTTCTTTTGGTCACTGCTGGAGACAGTGATGGTACAGACCAGCTCTTGGTCTGATGCAGCAAAGCAATTATTTTGCTGTATCTTCATAATACTTTACCTCTTTAGCCATAATATGGAGACATTTGCGTGTTATGTAATCTCCCCAGGTGCCTCATTGAACGTTCTTTCCCCCTTGCCCTTCACAGCTGTGTGGATCATGGAGAACTACCAGAAATCCAAGGTTGTGGAGAAGCCGTCCCCCCTGCCCTTTCCTGGCCTACCTTCGGATATAATTGAAATGAAAGTGAAGGACGGCAGCAAAATCCGGAACCTCGTGGGCTACGCCATTGGCAAGATGGAGTCTGACACGACAAGGCAGGTCGTCTTCAGTGGAGCCGGCAAAGCCATCAGCAAGACGATCACCTGCGTGGAGATCCTGAAGCGGAGGCTCAAAAGTCTCCACCAGATCACCAAAGTGTTCTTCAGGCAGACGGAGGAGATCTGGGAGCCGATCGTGCCAGAGGCTGGCCTGGATTCTTTGACTGTGAAGCGCAACACCCCTGCGATTTGCGTGCTGCTGAGCAAAGACCCGCTTGACTCTCAGGAGCCGGGCTACCAGGCTCCTGGGTCCTTTGACGCCCTCTGGCTGGAGACACTGAAGTCTGAGTCCCAGGGCCAGGCGAAGAGGAAGCAGGGCGGAGGAAGGGGGGCCAGCCGGGCTGGGAAGCACCCTCGCTCCGTGGGGCGTGAGGACCCCCACAAAAAGCCCTGAGTAGGACTGGGGAGAGCCAGTCAGTGTTCACGCAGTAATCCAAGCACTGGAAACGGGCAGAGAGAAACTGCATTTAGGGAAAAAGGAAAGGACAGGCTGCCAGCCCGAATTCAGAATCCTGCAGACTGACGGCTAGACTTTTGTGACTGGGCTCTTTTCCTCGCTTGGATCAGGTGTGCACATAAAGCATTTCTGTGGACTGTTTCTGGTATATCCAGGATTACTGTGCCTGAATGTCAGGGATGAAAAGGAAGTGCAGAATTTTCCGGAGCGGGAATGCTCTTTTCCCCAAAGTCTGAGGTGTTTTCCTATCTGATAAAGAGGTACCTGTGAAAATGTCTTGCTTTCTCCTGGGGCCTGTGGTGAAAGTTGTGAGTTGTGTCATGTAGCCAGATTTTTGTAAAGGGAAAGGGTTTGGCAAATGCTTCCCCCGCCCCCCACCTGCCCCATATCGCGGCCAGTCATTTCGTTGCTGCCCGAAAGCATTATGTGCCTTCTTGTGGCTCCAAGGCTGCTAACATCTCTTCCTTTAAAAGAAGGGACTTCCACCCTGGACATTCACGAGGAGGGATTGCAGTCTGATTCGGCATAGAAGCGAGGGGGGCGTGCTGTCTGTGCACTTGTGCCAAGGGTCCGTGATGTGCGTTTCCATGAGGACAAACGCAAAGTGTCTCAGAAGCCGCTTGTAACCCTTAGGAGCCCTGGATGGTAAGCTTGAAATTGTATTTTTGTTAATAAAGCCAGGGGCAAGGCCTATGTTTCAGTGCACGGCTCGTCTTCAGTAAGCTTGCATTTATCTTCAGGGCAACAGAGCACCAAGAGCTGCTGGGCCCCCTTGCCTGGCCCTGCCTGCAGCCCCTTGGCACATCCGTCCCGGCCCTCCCCTCTCTGGGCGAGGGGTGCTGAGGGGTGAGCAGTGCCTCACACCGAGGGAAGGTGTCCCTTTAGCCCCGCCAGGAAGGTGCCTGAAGGGCTGGCAGTCGGGACTGCCCACAGCCGGCCACTCCGGTCCTCTTCTTAAGAAGGTGCTTTCTGTTGTTTCCGGATCCATTGAGTAGGAGCAGTCCCACGCTGATTTGGGAACACGCTCTTGATGAACTGCGTTTCTTGAGCTGCCTTTGTCACACGTCTGGAGAACTGGCCGTCTCGAATGCGTTCAGGGAGCCGGCGGGCCCTGTGCCTCCAGAGCGCCCCGGAGAACGAGTCCTCGAAGGACGGCTCTGCGAGGCCGCAGCCGCCCGCCCAGGCTCGCCCCTTGAACGGTGCTCCTCCCTACCTGCCCGTTCCCATTTTGCTCCTCTGACGGCTCCCTCCAGGCGGCTCAGCCTGTCCGGTCGCCCTGCGAGTCCCACCCCTTTCCATCTTGAAGTATCTTCCCTCAGTCTTTCATGCTGCATGTGGCGCCCGGTTCAAGGTGAGGCAGGTCTGCCGTGTGCTTAAAGCGTTCACACGGCGGCCCGCTTCAGACAAAGGAGTCCTCCCTCTGGACGTGTGACTCTTCCAGGCTGCTTCTGTGGGGAGGGGTAGCATTAGCTGGGCGGGGGGGGGGGGCGCATTCCAGGTGGCCAGGCAGCCGGCTGCTGGGGGGCAACGCGTGCCCAGTGTGTTGGCAGTCACTTCAGACCCGCAGGCCCTGGGTGTGGCTCGTGGTGCCTGCAGTGGGCTCACCGCTCTGCCAGGGCTCCCGTTCTGGGGTCTGTGAGCGTTGCTCCCCCAGACAGGACCCCACCCTCCCGGTTCACACAGGAGGCCCTGCAGCAGCCCGAGCGCTGCAATCCACGGGGGCTCAAAGAAGGCCCCAGCTTGGCAGGGACGGGGGGCCCTTGCGGGTGAAAAGCGGGGACGGCCAGGCCCCCTCCCTGTCCCCCGGTCACGCACTTGGCCAGTTTTGCGGAACTGGGTTAGGGCCAGGCGCTCAGTGGAGGCGTGGATCCCGTAGCGTATGCAAAGGCCGCTGAAGTGGAGGGCTGCTCCCCGGCCAGTGGGTCCTGCTGTGTTCCCAGCCCCTCGTGCTTGACCGCGAAGAGGTGCTCCAGGCCAGAAGGGTGGGCCAGGTCGTGGGGTTCGTGCTCCGGACGGCCTCGTGGCTCGCGTCCTGTTGGGTCGCTCCTGCGCCGTCCCTGCTGCTGGCGACACGGGGGAAGTGCTGGTGCCCAGCCACGGGGGCACCGTGGCCGGGCACCACTCGCTGCCCGAGGTGAGCTCTTGAAGGGGCGTAGCCGTTGCCCTTCCGGGAATGCAGGGAAGCGCCTCTGAGCTGCAGCACCGTTCCCAGCACCCCGACAGTCCTTTGAGATAGTACCGAAGAGCCCGATCCACCCACGAGGATGTCCCTGCGTCGAGTCATGTGGCTGCCCTTGGGTAGCCTTTGGTCAGAAGCCGAGCCAGGGCAGGCAGGCAGGTGCCAAGAAGGGCTTCCAGGGTGGTTCAAAGAATGGCCACTCTTCCGGAGGCACCCTTGAAATTCTCTGAAAGCTAAAATGCTTGCAGCCTGTTCCACGCGGTGGTTTGGGCCACAGTCGGGCCTTCCTGGCTGATGTATGGTTCCTGGAGAATGTGGCTGGGTAGCTGGTGGTGGCACTTGCCCGGACTTTGAGAGGACGCAAGAGTCCCTCACCGAAGAGCCCAGAGTAATCTGTGCTCCGGGGCCAGGAGGACGCGTCTCATGCTCAGGTTAATAACGAGCTGCATCCTTTTACATGTTGGTAACATGAAAGAACAGGAGAAGAGGGACTTGCCCTTTCTTAGTGGAGAGACGTAATCGGCAGGGGGTCCTAAGCACCAGTAGTGGCACTTTTGAGCCTGTTCACAAACTGTTGGAGCTGCGGGGGGTGGGGGGGGGGAGTCTGCAAATAGCCCCAAATTATTTAAGAATGAAAAGGAATTGGGAAGAGTTCCCTGGAAGACCCCTGAATTGGGTGGTCTGGCATTAAGATGGCAAGTGCCGCTCGGCGTTGGGGCAGAAACGGTCCTCGTCCCACATTCCCACCGACAGGATCGAGGCTGCCGGCAAATGGCGAGCGAAAGGCTTTGGGGCCGAGGTGAGTGCCTTGGCGTGAAGATGTTTGGCTGCTGTGAAGAAGTAAGTGTCACGTTAAGGATCGTGGGAGAAGGGGCTGAAGACGTCCCACGCCGTCTTCCCTGCACACGACTCCACGGTGCGGCCCGCTCCCTTGCCGCACTCCCTCCGTTCAGTGCTGCTCGGACGGACCAGAGCGAGAGGATGTGTGGAAAAGGGCAGCTGAAATGAGTGTGGGGCTGGGGCTGCTCCGCTGCAAGGAGCGCTTGCACCGCTGAGGGTGTTTCGTTGAGCAGAAACGGATGTGGGGAGGAGGGCAAGCCTGTCGAGAAAAGCTTTTCTCCCCTCAGCATGCCGGGGCCCAGAGGCGCTGCCGGGTGGAGCTGCTGGGTGGGAATTCAAAGGAAGGACTTCCTCAAGCAGCGCAGAGCCGAGCTGCGGGGCATCCGCACGAGGCCGCAGGTGGGCGGCTTGAACAGCGGACTGGGCGGGCGTGGAGGGTGCCGAGTGGGGCAGGCCGGCTGCAGCTTCGTGCGGCAGGTGCCCCTTGCTCCGCCAGAGGGGGCTCTTGGACACCTGCGGAGCTGCGCCAGCCGGCCGGCCTTCATCAGTTTCTGCTCTAGTTACCCTGCAAAACCCCACCGCTGATTCACGGCGTTAATAAAGCAGTTGCTTGACGGCACGGCGGCGTGCCTCATCTCTGAGCCTTGGGTGGCCGGGAGAGAAGCCACGGAGAGTATATCCCTGTGCCCCGAAGGTCTGCAAGATGCGTGGCTCCGCTGTTACGCGGGACCTGAGCACCTGGCAGAACAGCCGGGGGTGTGGGGTGGCCCGCTGGCTGGAGAGTGACCCACGGCACCTCTGCCAGGGAACCGGCCCCTGTCCAGGGCCCTTACTGCCCCAATGGCTGTCCAGGGGTTTAAAGACTCGGAGGGCTGTGCACCAGCGGAGGACGTGTTAAATCCGGTTGCGAACTGTGGCTTTGGGGGGAGACCCACAGGCCTCGGGCAGGTGCTGCAGCCCGCTTCCCAAGCCAGGGTGGAAATAGCTTCTCCCGCTTGCCGGGCTGCCCCTCGGCTCTCCTTCCGCAGAGACCCCGTCAGAGGGATTGAAACGTTGGCGCATCGGCCTGTTAATCTGGGTTCAAGTTTGCACCCAGGTGGGCAACTTGGAGCCTGGGACGATGCACGGAGACTCCTTGTTGCAGCTGAAATGCATTAATGGGCTTATTGATTAAGCAATGTAATAGGAGCTGGAAACAGAAGCTGTAATGACTAGCTATTATAGGCCCAGATGAGCGCACAAGGACGTAAAGGGAAAAGCAAACCGTTAAACTTAATGGCCAAGACGAGGCCGGGTAACCTGCTGGGGCAATAATTCGAAGGCGATGCGATGTGAATAAAGGAGCTGCAATTTATAGAAACAGTGGCCCAAAGGAACTAACAAAGCTATTTAAATACGAATAGATTGGCGAGGCTAGCACAGCGTTCTCCTCGCTGAAAAATTAAAAGCAAAGCACGTGCCGTGTTCTCGCTGCACTGCATTTACCACTAGGCTCAAGAGGACGTTGGCGCATGTCCCCAGCGCCACCGAACGCTCCGTCCAAGGACCCAGGCTGCTCACAGGCAAAGGGGGCTTGCTGCCCGAGACGCAGGACTAAGAGGGACCTCCCCACACACAGCTGCTTTGGGAGAGACACGAAATGCCGAGGCATTTCACACGCAAGGCGAACCGAATGAGTTATCTGATCTTTGTCTACGAAGCCGCCCGTAATGCCTTCAGGAAGAAGCCAACCCGTTACCAATGTACTCATTTCCTTATTGTGGATTTAGCATTGGCTTTTTCACGCACTCGAGTTCTCAGTGTGGAGAACAACATTTAAAACCCACACAGACATTAAATCTGCATTGTGAATCTCTTAAGTCACCTGAGATCAAAGCTGCAGGGAAAACAAATGGGGTGGCGGAAGGAGTTGCGCGCGCGCACACACACATGCACACACGCGCGCGCACCCCTTGGTTCTGACAGTGCAGGGCTGGAGAGGAAGCCTCCGCGCGAATCGCTGCAGGAGAAGTGCTCCTAGCTGAGAGAGACGGCGAAGGAAGCAGGCCAGGCCGCATCCTGAAGGGCCGTCCTTGGGTTGAGCGTGAATGCAGGGAGGAAAATTCCCGGCCTCGGCAGAGAGGGTGCCGACGGGCGAACGGGGAAGGCCTTGTTCTAATGGTGCGTTGTGCGGTTCCAGGGCGTTCTGTTCTACATCTGCACAGTGCGCATATTCAACACGCCCGGGCAACCCACGTGAGGAGGGGAAAGGGTTCCTTTGGCACCAGTTTTGCTCCTGTGCACTGAGGCCGTCCCGGCGAGGGCTGAGTCCGTCAGATGCCGGAAGAGAGAGCCTGCGGGCCAAGCTCCGATTTCGCGGCTCTCGTGAGCGCTGACTTCCGCAACGCCAGCACGAACTGGATGGGGCCAGCCAGGCCCAGGTGGGCTCCTTCCTGTGGGCCGCTGAGGGGTTGGGGGGGGGGGGCTGTGCATTGAGCTGCCTCATCCTTCCTCCGTGAGGTGCCGGGGTGGGCGCCTAACAGGGCTGGAAGGTGGGGGAGAAGTGGTCTCCCTGCTCCCTTTCTTTTCAGCCAGGGAAGGCTGCAGATGTTAGAACGTAAAGATAGAAACAGAGAAACAGAGCGAGTCAGAAGGGGCCTCCCGGGCCATCTAGTCTGACCCCCGGCTCCAGCCAGCTCCGC